GTGAGTGCAGACTCGGGCAGGGGCTTTCCGGGACACCACTGTGGGCAAAGTGGGCAGTGGCAGCCCGCTGTGGGTGGCTGAGCTTCCTGGGGGCACTTGCAGTGGCCTCCAGGCAGGAAACAGAACCCCTGCCTGACTCCTGGGCAGGAGTCCCCTGGGGATCATCAGAGGAAGACCCAATGAGGAGTCTCCAGCGGAGACGGGGCTTGATCTCTTTAACTGAGATGTGAGGAGGCAGGAACTTACTCTGTTCTGTGAGCTACTTTGGTGGGATAACCAGATAGTGCTTATGATGGTTTTTCCCTTCTAAAGAACAGAAATGGCGAGACAGGACAGGCTCAAACTTAAAGACAAGTGAGTTTTTAAGGAGCCCCAGCCTCCAGATGATGTTCAGGATGTGTCTGGTCAGGAAGGGGGAAGGGGGGGGAGGTCTTGTGTCCACATGCTTGTGGCCACAGATCCTTATTAATGGCACTGTCCTCAACTGGAGTCAGAAACTGCTCCTGCCTTCCCCCTTTATAGAGGGGTTCTTGCCCTGACTGCTCTTTTTGCAGGGGCTTCGGAAAGCTGCTGACCTTGCAAGTAGTGCTGTGTGCACGTGTGCACGGGGTGAGAGAAGCGCAGGCCTGCAACTCTGAGCAGTTACTTGTCCCTGGTGTGCCAGCCAGCCAGGAGTGGTTCCTATTGGAGACAGCAGGAGAGGAGACTCCCCCTGCAGGGAGCCAGTCCACTTCTCATCTTTGCCCCTGGTACCATGGACTTCCTCTTCCTGACCGTGGTTTTCTGGTTTCCTCTGCCCACACTTGTAGCGTCTCAACCCTGACCTTCCATTCACCCGGGAAAACTTTTGAAAAATACCTATGCTAGGGCTGTAGGCACTGGTATTTTTTAGAAGCTTCCCAGATGATGCGTAACCCAGTGGGTAGAAACTCGTGCCAATCCAAGCTGCCCCACCACAGGGACGTGGCCCACATGCATGACGAGGCAAGCAACTACGCACCATAGGGCAAGACCTTCAGTCTCAAGTGAGGGTTTCCCCTCACCCCCATCCCTTCCCCTTTGTAGGGCCTCATGGGTCGATTAATGAGCTCAGGTCTGTCTGGAGGAAACAGGAGGTGAAACTGATCTGTGTGCTTGCAAGACTGAGACTTGTCCTGTTTTCTACCAGGAAGAAAGATCAAGGCATTTGCAGTGAAAAGCAGTGTAGCGTAGCCTGGGAGCCTGGAAGATAGGTGTGCCTCAGGTCCATGAAGCTGCCTTAGGGACGTCAGAGCTGTTCCTCTCCAAGTCATACTCCAGAAAGACACTTGTTCAGTAAATGGGGATTCATCCTGATTAAAATAAAAATGGTCAACACCAAAAAGCCAAGGATGTCCTGTGATGACAGGCAGCCCCTAACCGAGGGGTCAGCACAGAACTCTTCCTTCACACTGGACAAGCTCTCCTGGCCACAAGAACCTGGAGCAAGAAAACCCAGTTTAGAAGTTCAGGCCAACTTCCATCAACTCCCTTGTCGCTGGGAAAAGAACCATCCTTTTGAATAGGACAGATGAAGCTCTAGGGAGAAAGCCAAGGGGCCAGCAAGAACCTGAGCAGTGGGCGCTCTGATACTGGCTCTTATATCTAGTTCAGTGGATGAAAGGAAGTATTTTAAACTGATCCCGGTTCTCCAAGTGGGTGGTGCTCAGAGGGAACTAGAATGAACCAGGACTTGCCCTCAATCTGTCAAATTGGGAATTGTTAGGTCTTGGTCTGACTTATCATATAGGAAAGGGATGCTCTGAACCTGTAACTCTTTTTTTTGAAGAGGGCGCAAGTGAGCAAGGGGGCAGAGAGAGAGACTCGGGGCTCACCCAGGGCTCATGTTACCTGAAGCAGGGCTCGAGCTCACCCCTTTAAGTGGGCCTCAAACTCATGAACTGTGAGATCATGACCTGAGCTGAAGTCGGGCTTACCGGCCAAGCCACCCACATGCCCCTCAGAACCTGTAATGTAACTCTTAATCAGCCTTGGACTTAACAATCTTGCTCTCCATGCTTTGGTACGTGAATTATCACACCAGCGATACACTAATTACCATCTTAAGAACCAACTGATTACACTTACCTGCATCTTTTCAGGATCCCTGGGCTGGCTTTTTATGCTCGTCCCCATCCATCCACCAGGCAGGCAGCTCTGTGTGTGGCATCATGTTTGACCTACATCGGCGCAGACCACCATGAAAACAGCCACAGGAAGGTAAGGGCAGTGCCTTTTCAACCACATCTGGGCAGAGATTTGGTTGCAAGCTATCGAGGCAACCAGAGTGGCACCCGGCAACCTCCCTTTGAAAGGCGAGGCTTCTGTGAACTGGGAAAGGGCTCCGGCTGCATCCCGCTCACCAGGGTTGGCAAGCTGCAGGGATTCGGGCTGCTGTCCCCGGACATCCTGTCTGCAGGGGAGCTGGAAGAGCAGGTGTTCTCACCCCACTCCGTAGCCCAGAGGAGGGAAGAGATGCTTGACCTGGGAAGTTGCCAAAAACTTCCCACCTGCCTGTACCGCACAATAACCACCTGACAAGTTGTCTCCAGACAACCGGCTTCCCGGGGCCCGTGAAAGAGCACCCAAGTTAAAAGGACACGGGGCCGATTTATGTGGCAGTAGATCTTAAGAGGCCAGCACAACTGGCAACTGAGGCCGAATGAGGGCAGTGGGCTTGCGTGTGCCAAGTGCCAGCTGTGCCGAAGGGCACCCTTGTGCCCACGGGCCCGCACCCCTTCGTGGGGCTGCCTTCCCAACCTTCCCGTCTCCTTTCCGGGGTCTTCTCACCAGCTCAATGGAAGCAGCCAGCTGCATGGTGACCGCTCCCTCGCCTGCCCACAGCGGGCCGATCCTTAACCCTTTTCTGTCCCTAAGGGAACGCACACTGCATTGTCTTTGCCTTCGAACAAAAACCACGTGACCAGAATAGGCTTTGCTGTTTTCCTCCCACCCCCGGCCCGTTCCCGACAGCCTTACCATCTGTAGCACAGCTGTCCCCACGTGTCGGGTGGTCGCCGGCCCCTCCCTGTGGCTCTGCTCCAAGGTTGCCCTCCAAAGGTGAGGAGCAAGGAGTGTCACTAACTTTGTTACAATAATAATACTGCTGTTCTTTTCAAAAGGAAAGCTTTTCTAATAAAATTTACGGTTTTTGTTAATATTCTGATTATACACCAAACGTTGGCAGCCATATGTAGATATGTTTGCTATGGACAGGATTGCGAGGTCATACTTGCAGAGACAACTTTAGAATTAGTTTAAATAAACCAATACATTTTCTCAGAAATTGTATAATTTCCTTCGGTTTACAATCCATGATCTGGGAAGTTTAATGTAATGTTAAATAATTTACTTTCTACCCTAAAAGTAAACTATAGAAAACTGAATCACTATTAGGATTGAATAACAAGGCTTTAACGGCTCAGTGGTTTTTCTTAAGAGTATATAAATATATAAATCTTGAAAAGGTAACACTGTTAGTTGAGCTGTAAAATCCATAAAAATAACAGTTCTGCCACAGTGCACAGACCAGTTCATTCGTTTTGCTTCCCCCACCCCGCAACCAAGCAGCTTTCCGGTTAGAAGTGGAAGACAGAGAAAATCATACATCCTATGTGAAATAATGAACATGGTAGGAAACGGTGTGCAAAAAATAACCTTTAAAATTCCATACTCCAACATCACAGATGCCCAGCAAGAGGACTTTCAACTGGTTTAATGAATATTTGGGCTGATCTCCACATCCTCCCACAGTGCTGTCCGCAGACTCAGAGCCCAGGTCTTATGCTGCAACGGGGAGAGTGGTCTTCGGTCTGGAACAGGACGGGGGTCGGGGGGGAGGGGTCCCCTAGCCGACCTGCTGAAGGGTGCCTTGAAGAAGGGCCTGTCAGTTGTGTGCAGGAGCTTCCCAAAGGTACTGGGGAAAATCCCCGGCGTGGCCTGCGACCTGCTCCTCCGTTCTGGCCACGCCGGCACCCATCTCCGACAAAGGCCTCAAGTCCGCTGACCTTGCTGTTAGACCTTCCGTTGCTTGGTGGCCTCTGCGTCAGAGCGAGGCACGCCCTCCCAACGTGGCAGGAGCTGCTGTGCTCGGCCAGCACGGCCACACACTCGTCTACCCTAGTGAGCAGGTCCGGATTCCAGGCTCACATCCCGAGTGTCAACCTTGGGCTGCCTCCCGGCTTTGGGCAGCAGGCAGGCGGTGCAGCCCAAGGCAGGGCAGGACATCCGGGTCCCACTCATCCTCCCATGGTCCTGAGGGGCTGCTGTCCCCATTCCAGGCAGCGCCCTGGGCCTTGGCCTCCTCAGGCCCCTCACACAGTGGCCTGCAGGGCGACCCTCCATGGCCCACAGCAGCCTGGCTTAACCAATGCTGCTATTTCTAACACGATCCCCTGTATCTTGGAGGCTGGGCTGTGTTCCCAGCCACGGGCAACATGCCCTTGTGCTGTGTCCTCTTCCTTGAGCAGGGGGGGACCCTCTCCAGGCAGGTCCTGTGCTCCTCTGCCCTGGCTCCAGGGCCAAACCGTGGGGGCATCTACCCCCACCCCTGCCCGGCTGGGGTTTTAAAGCTACAGGACAATGTAAACTTGGGTTTGTTTCCCTGGCCCCATGAGGCTGCTGCGGTTCCTTAGAGCCTCCTGTGCCACAGGCTAAGGCAGCCTCTCTCCAAGGGGCTGCAGCCATGGTCCTGGCCCCATAGATGGAAAGCTCCATCTCCAGAAGTCAGGACCAGAGGTGTGTGCTTAATTAATTTGAGACACGGTACAGTGTTTGCCTTCCCCCAGAGCTGGGGCACGGAGGCCCCGAACAGTAAAACAACTCATTAATGGCTTGGTTTTGTCTAGCAGTCACTGCTGGAATCCAGGCTCCAGGCTACGAGGCCAGGAAGGCTGCCACGACAGGCCACTTCTCAAGAACCCGGCTCACGGCACTCCACGAGGTGCATGGCACCCGCTGCTCTCAACGAGGCTGGCACACAACTAGAGGCGGTTGTCCCCGTTGACCCGAGTCCTTCGTGGGGCCCTGGACACAAGGAGAGAGTGTCCTTGCCAACGGTGGGGCCTCAGAGTGCAGTGGGACAGCCCAAAGCCAGACAACTGTAACTTCCACCCACCCAGGAGGCAAGAGAAGGACCCGGAGGGGCAGCAAGCACTTCTTCCCATCGCTCCCACCATCCCCCGCCTCCAAGCTGCACACTGGCCACCCATCCTCCAGCCCCTCACCTCCGTTCCCGACTGTCAAAATGGTCTGCCAGATGCTCTTGGGAGATACGAAAGTCCTCAAACGGCTGCTGGTAGCGGGCTTCAAAGGAACCTTCCCGGCCCCGGCCATGGAACAGCTGACCCGAGGCATCGGAGCCCCGCTCGCGCAGAGACATACTACTGAAGGGACTGACGTCACCGTTCTCCTGCTTCAACAAGGGCGGTGCACGAGAGATCAGTGCCTCCCCGGGGCCTTATGAGGCTGCTGCCTGGCTCCTCCCCAGCCCCCCTTCCTCGTGCTCACCTTGGCAGGGAAAACCTCGATCTTGATGAGCAGGGAGGCCAGCTCCAGGTCCTCACTGTAGTTGTTCTTCAAAGGCACGGCTCTGTATCCTAGGAGAAGGCCTGGCCCTCAGCCCAGTAGGGAGCCAAGCAGGGGCCTGCGCCCCCCCC